TGGCAAGAGCAAAAGGTTTCTGAATGCACAGCAACCAAAAAATAATTCAAAAAGCAACCAAATAATGAGTCGGATGTACTTTTGGCAGTGTTGGGTGTGACATTACATGTAAGAGCACTGCAAGCATAAAAGAATATAAGCCGCCCAGAAAGGGAGCATTCTATCTAGAGGAGAGGTTTCCAAACTTAATTTGGCCTTCTTCAGAAACAATTTTCACTCAGGGCCAGAGAGGCAGTATAGCAGGTAGGGGACTTGCCTTGCATGTAGCCGAACCCGGTTCAGACCTAGCACCCATAAGGTCGCCCGAGCCCACCAGGAATGATGCCCAAGCACAGCCAGTGTAGTCAAAACAAAATTTCACTCAGTGAGCCCTGAAAAATCTACTTTCTTTAAGCAAACAGAAAACGGGCTCCCCCCCCACACACACACACACTGCACCCAAAGCTACTTGGCACACTCTGGACAGGTCCAGCATGGGCATGGGGGGGTGGAGGGGAGAGGCACCAGGAGGGGAGGGGAGGGTGACGACCACATCAGGCAATGCTCAGGGCTTTCTCCTGGCTCTGTGCTTCGGGATCACTCCTGTCCCAGCCTGGTGGGCCTTACACAGGGGCTGGGGACTGAATCTAGAAGCTGTGTGCAAAACAAAGAGGAAACGCTGATAGAGACAGACTCATATGGGTCATTCTAATTTCTTTTCTTTTTTTTCTGAAGTCAAATTGTTTTATTTAGAGGAATGTAAGGAGAGTCAGAAAGTGCACATAATGAGGGCAACAGAGAATCCAACTCATTCCAATTTCTTAAAATTGAGAGGCTTCTGATACATTTCAAGAGCTCCGCTGGATCAAAAACAAGAAAAATTCTTTTTCCCTCTGCTCCTCTGTAAAACTCCATTTTGCCTTTCTTATGGATTTGGGGGCCCTCCGGAGCTGTGCTCAGGGGGCCCTGCATCTGCTTCCCAGTGACTGTTGGGCAGCCCAGCTGGATAACTGAGTTCTGGGAATGGGGGACCAGGTGCTGCATGGGCCCTGCAGTTCTGCCAGGGGGGGGGGGGGGGGGGCGTTGTTGCTTGGGAAGTTTCTCACACTGTAGGTAACAAGGCTGCGGAGCCACATGTGCCTGGGGTGGAACTGGGACGGAGGCCCTGCATGCGCCCTAACCCCCATACTATCTTCCCCGCCCTCCCCCTGCCTTCCGACAGGGGTGCAGTCTTTCATTATTTCTGAACCCTTTGAGAAATGAAAATCAATAGACCTCCCTGTGTTTAAGGGAAGAGGCCAACAATCTGGGCAGCAGAAAGGAGACTGAACCAAGAATGTTCACTTTATTTTCCACAGGCCAAGCTACTGTCATTTTAAAGTTTTATTCCACTCTTCAATTTTAGTTTTTTGGTTTAAGGTCACACATGGGGCCACATGCACTGCCAAGACTTGAACCTGGAACACAGCCACAGCTGCCGGGCTAGGTAAGCACCTTACCCTTTGTTCTCTCTCTCACTCTGACCCTCCATTTACTTTTTTTTTTCTTTTTTGGGTCACACCCAGCTATGCACAGGGGTTACTCCTGGCTCTGCACTCAGGAATTACTAATTACTACTGGCGGTACTCGGGGACCATATGGGATGTTGGGAATCAAACCTGGATCGGCCACGTGCAAGGCAAACGCCCTACCTGCTGTGCTATCGCTCCAGTCCCCCTCCATTTACTTTTAACTTCCAAAACAACATACATTTTATACTGAACACACCAGCAGTGGTGAATACAAGTCAATATTAAGAAGAAAGCGTTATTGTGCTGGAAGAGCAACGGGAGGGACAAGTGAGACACTGGTGGTGGGAAATAGCACTGGTGGATGGATGAGTATTGGAACATTGTATAATTGGAACCCAACCATGCACAGCTTTGTAACTGTGGGAAGAGGAGGGGAGGAGGGAGGAAGGGCGAGAGGAAGAGAAGGGGGGAGGTGAGGGGAAGGAGAAGGAGGAGGAGGAGCGGGCAAGGGCAGGGAGGGGGGAAGGAAGAGGGGAGGGGGGAAGAGGAGAAGAAGGAGGCATTATTTCAGGGCTCTTTCCATTCCTTCTAACAGAAAGTAAAAAGATATTTAGAATCCCTAATCATTGTTCAGAAACTTTGCCCAAAAACTATGCCCAACTAAGTCAAACAAAAACAAAACACTGTCCTCCCGTTGTTCATCGATTTGCTCGAGCGGGCCCAGTAACGTCTCCATCACGAGACTTGTTACTGTGTTTAGCATATCGAGTATCAAATATGTCACGGGAAGCTTGCCAGGCTTTGCCATGCAGGTGAGATACTCTCGGTAGCTTTCCGGGCTCTCCAAGAGTACACATTCCAAAAATATGGTTTAAACAAGAAGATTTGTTAGGTTAAGAACTGGTGTTCTCATTGTATAACTGAAACACAAGCACGAAAGTTTGTAAGCCTACAACTGTAGTTTCACTAAACTCATGGTGTTTCACTAAAAAAAAAAAAAAAAAGAAAGAAAGAAAAAAAAAGAACTGACATTCTGGGGCAGGAGAGATAGTACAGGCGGATAAGTCGCTTGACTTGCAAGCAGCCAACCCAATTCAATTCCCAGCACCTCACATGGTCCCCCACGCCCCACCAGGAGTTATTCCCAAGCAGAGGACCAGGAATAAGTCCTGAGCACTGCCAGGTGTAGCCCCAATTTTTTTTTTTTTAAAAAAAAGAAAACTTGACTGTTCTTTCTCTTAATACTTCAAATTCCTATTAGTCAGAATCCATTATCATTAAGTTGGCAGAGACTCTTGAATGAACTTGACCTTGCAAAGGTAGTCTTTGACAGGAGTGAATAAAAGTTGTCTTTTAAGGAGTGGCTTCTACTTTCTAAACCCTAGAGCCAAAGATGTAACTCAGTGGTAGAAAGTATGCTCCCCATCTAGACAGAAGGCCCCAAGTGCTGAAAGAGCCCAGGCACCACAGGTTGGGTGGAAGAAAGGAGAGGTATATGGGAAATGGCCAGAGAGAGGGCACAGTGGTTAGGACGCTTGCCTTGTAGATGGCCAACCTGGGGTCAACCCCCCAATCCAACCACTACCAAAGGTGATTCCTGAGTGCAGAGAGGGAAATGACCCGAGTATCACCAGGTGTGACCCAAAATCCAAAAACAGTAATAACAATAAAATGACTACATAACCAGTTGCGAAATCACCCCAAAATATTCACAGTGAAGGGCAAGAAATATAACTCTGGGTAAAACATACACACTTCACAGGCATGACAGCACCGACATATGCATGTGTGTATACACACACACACACACACACAAATGACCTCATTTTCCCTGATGCTCATTTCACTTCCAAAGAAGAAATTTCACAGAACACAAACTGCCCCAAGTCCCATCACCTACACATCTCTGCACTCCGCAGTGCCCTTTATTTGGGATGGACAGGCTGAGGGGGAAGAGAGTTAAATACACAGACATTAGTTCCGGATACAGTCAACTTGAAAGGCCAACGAAGCAATAGACAAAGGTGCACTTGTATTCAAGCTGGCTTCTAAAGAATAAAAACAAGGTGTCTCGAAAACTTTCACCCCTCAAAGCGAATCTACTTCGACTTTTCTCCTGTATCCATTCCAAAATAAACTGCTGCTTTAAAGTAATGGCAATAGAGGGCTTTTTTAGACACACGATGGACGTCTAAAAGAGAGAGAGGCAGAGAGTGAAAGCACACATTCTGGGGACCCTCTGTGAAAACTGCAGCCTCTTCACAAGTTGTTTTCCAAGAGCCTCAAGACACCCGTTCCCTCTCATAGGTTCATTTTCAAAAGAGCAAATCTCTGGACAGATGTCAAAACCACAACTTCAGGCAAGCGAGTCATCCCTCTCCTCGGGCCTGTCCCATGAGTGAAAGACAAAACGTTTTTATTTACATCCAGCTGAACTAAATGGAGCTGTTATCATTTGGGCCTGTATCAGAATCCTACTATATTTTTATCATCACTCTGGCATCTCAGACAAACTTAGGATATTAAACTTTGATAATATAAGACCGGACAAACAAACTCAAGAGAGTTCAGCCAGGGATGTGGCTGGTGGTAGAGCAACTTGCTCTGCAAGCCTGAAGTCCAGAGTTCAATCCCCAGCACCTCCAAACCAAAAGATAAATACCACCACCGCCACCCGCCCCCCCACAACTCAGACACACACAACACACACACACAGAGGTCAGGTCCATTTGGTTCTAAATCTACTGGAATTCACTGTCAGCTTCTAAATCTCGGTTTCTTAAAGTGTGTTTGCTTACCATTTACACCACACACATCACACACACGCAAATCTTCCTACTTAGATTTTTCACGTCCACCCATTAGATTTTTTTCTTACAAAAAAAAAACCCTAAAAGTTACAGCCTGCGGCCTCTAACTTTCAATCTATCTAAAACACACATCTAAGTGTGAGAATCACTCAGTGCTACACTGTGACTCGTGAGCTAAGTAGAGGGGGTCCTCGATGGAACCCGGCCAACGCCGCCGCAGCTTGCAACCCCTCGGGCTCAGCCCCACCACCGCTACCAAGGATTTAAAAAAAAAAAAAGAACAGAAAAATTAGGCAAAAGGCGGAACCCCCCTGCCAAATCTGAGCTGCTCTGGGAACCCCAGCACCGCGCGAAGAGCAGCAAGCAGCAGCAGGTCGGGAAGTTCTGCGGGCAGAAGAAAGGGAACCTTCCCCGCTCTGCATCTTCACGCAGACGCGCCAGGCCCGCTTCCCGCAAACGGCCCCGCTCCAAAAACCATCGCGGACCTGGGGGCGGGGACACGACCCGCACCCCCACCGCACGCCCACCCCCAGCGGCCTCTTTCGGAGGACGACCCTCGGCGGCATCACGGTGGGGTCTGAAAGCCTCGCCGGGCCCTGCCGCCGCCGCCCGCGGGCGCCCTCCCCGGCCCCCCGCACCCCCGCACCCCCGCGCCCCGGCCGCGCTGCGCAGCCCCTCCCGCCGCCCGGGCGCCGCTTACCCGCCGGCAGCCCGTGCTCCGCGACGTCGCCGGTCGCGCCGCGCTCGGGGCCGCCGCCACCGCCGCCGCCACTCACGGGGGACGACGGCCGGCTGCGGCCCGGGGCGCAGTGCATGTCGCGGAAGAACTTCTGCGTCTCGCGCAGGTTCTGTCGCAGCCGGCCCAGGTAGCGGCGGTAGCGGCCGAAGCCGCGGCACAGCTCGCGGACCATCCCGCCGCCGCCGCCGCCGCCGCCGCCGGGCCCCGAGCCGGGCTCGCCGCCCCACGGGCCCCCGTCGCCTTCCATCGCCGCGCTCGGGCCCGCCGCGGCGCGGTCCCCCTCGCCAGCAGCGCCCACGGCACCAGGAATCCGCCTCCCGGCGCCCCCGCCGCGGCGCCTGCGGGCTCCCGGCCTCCCCTCCCGGCCCTGCGAAACAAACCCCGCCGCCCGGCCCCGCCGCCGGAACCCTCGGCCCGGGGGCCGCAGAGCGCGGGAAGACTTTTAGGGACGCGCAGCTGCTCGCGGGGGTGCTTGGGACTTGTAGTCTATTCCGGGGAGCTAGGTGCCGAAGCCTCAATCTGTGAGTGGGGCTGGCTGGTTTATTTATTTCTTGTTTTTAATTTGTAAATTTTTATTTTTATTATAAAGTTGTCCACAATAGTTTATTACACTCAATATTCCAACACCAAGCCCGCCACATTCCTCCTCCCCACCACCCTATTTTCTTTTTTTTCTTTTTATAAGTTTATTATTAAGCAAGTGTAATACAGTAGAGTGTTTTTTTTTTCTTTTTGGGTCACAACCGGCGATGCACAAGGTTTATTCCTGGCTCATGCACTCAGTAATTCCTCCTGGCGGTGTTCAGGGGACCATATGGGATGCTGGGAATCGAACTGGATTGGCTGTGTGAAAGGCTAACACCCTACCCCCTGTACTATCACTCCAGCCCACACCACCCTATTTTCAATCCCCCCCCCACACACACACACACCCAAAGACAGCTACTGCCCCAGTTGGGGCTTTTAAAAACTCCTTTCTTGTACCTGGCCTTGGACACTTTTCATTTAAAACCTTTTTTTTTTGTTTGTTTATTAGTTGGTTTGGTTTGGTTTGGTTTTTTTCCTACCGGGAATAGCAACTGATGGTGTCACCGTGAAAAAGAGGATGGAGAGTTCTCAATCAAGTGAGACTGGAAATACTCTATGAATGCAGAAGTTCTATTTCTGGGTATTTTTGTCTGAGAATTTAAAGAAAAACACTAATTAAAAAAGATGTGTAAGTGCGGAAAGTAGTAAAGAAACAAACATGATTATCTCTCAGCATCTGTATTGCAAATCATAATACTCAAAATGGGGGGGGGGGGAAGAGTTCCTGCAATGGGGAGGTGTGGGGAAACAGGATATTGGTGGTGGGAAATATACACTGGAGTGGATGGTTGTTGGAACATTCTATGACTGAAACCCCATCATGAACAGCTTTGTAACTGTGTATCTCATGTATCTCATTGAAAAAGAAAAAAGATTTGTGTACTCCATGGCTCTGGAAAGATAGCCCAGAAGGCTTGAGTATATACCCAGTCTGATGGTACCGTAAAGTTTGGGCATTACTTTCTCCTTTCATCTCCACCAGCTTAGCTTTGTGGAGCCTCTGGAGCCCACCTCCCCCTCAACGCAAACACAACGGGCAATGCCCCAAGGCCTGGGACCCTCTGCACTGTTGTATATCACTGGGTCTGCTGGTCCTCATAGCCTGGCCTTCCCTCTGGGAGTCCAGCTACCCACCTAAAAAGATAAGCATTCCTATGATAAATTGCAAAATTATTTTTTAACATTCAAAATTTATAAAAAAAAAAAACCTTGTAGCAAATGGATGAATGCATTAAAGTATGATATGCATGGATGCAATGTTAATCAGATAATTTTTTAAAAATAGAGATCTTGATTATGAGACAACATGAATAGACCTAGTAGTATTAAGTAAAGAAAAGAAAAATACTGTGTGGGGCTGGAGTGATAGCACAGCGGGTAGAGTGTTTGCCTTGCGTGCGGCCTACCCGGGTTTGATTCCCAGCATCCCATATGGTCCCCTGAGCACTGCCAGGAGTAATTCCTGAGTGCAGAGCCAGGAGTAACCCCTGTGCATCGCCGGGTGTGACCCAAAAAGAAAAAAAAAATACTGTGTGGTTTCATTCAGATGTGGATGTGAAGTAAATAAATGAAATAAAGCAAAATCTATATTAACTTACATAAAACAAAAACTAGAAGAACAAAACAGTAAGAGGAAGGGGGATGGAGATGATAAAACTACTAAAGAAGGTAAATTCTATGGCAAAGGATGGAAACTAGTTTTGGTAATGATTATAATGTATAGACAGAGGTCTCAATATTATGCTGAACCTCTTAAATGTATATGTTAAAAAACAATGTCTTTTAAAAACTAAAAATATGGAGGTATGGTGTCGCCAGCAGGTCAATCTGTACCTGTGAAGTGAGTGCATCAGCAGCCTGATGGCACCTTCAGACTTCCAGATACCCCAAAATTGCTGCTGTGCCTTTGGCCAGACCCCAAAAACTTGGGGCAAAGTTTACCAAGAAAGTAAAGGGCCAGAAGTTAGGTATGTGGGAGACACACCCACAAACCACCTCAGGCTCAGCCATATAATTGGAGGCATGGCCTCTGTGGTTCCTGATCGAACTGCTTAATGGCCATGATCCCAGAGACTCAGAAACAGATCTTGAAACCCAACGGCTTTTGGCAGAAATGTGTCCGGTCCCTGCAGTAGGTTACCGGCGCCGGGCCACCCCAGGTGGGAACAGGTTTCGTGCCTTGGTCTGTTCCCCCTGGTGGCTCGGTGACCGTCATCCTCCAGAAGCCACTGGACAGTCAGGTAAAATCCCAAACAATAATGGTGGGTCTGGTGTAAAAATGGAATCAAAGTAGAGAGAGAGTAATGTGAAAATCATCTGCCCCACAGGTAGGGAGAGGGTGTGGGTTGGGGGTATACTTGGGTTTTTGGTGGTGGAGAATGGGCACTAATGAAGGAACAAGTGTTTCATTGTATGACTGAGACTTAAACCTGAAAGCTTTGTAACTGCTCTCACGGTGATTCAATAAATAAAATTATAAAAAATGGAGAAAAAGGTAAGGTGGAGTTCATGCCCAATTCAATCAGCTAAGCTAGTGGCTGAATAAATAGCAGTACTCCTACATTAAAAAAAAATTAAAAATAAATAGAAACATGTTCTTTCTCCTTACCCTTATCCATGAGGAGAGATCAAAACTACAGAAGTTAACAGAAATGGGTGCCTGATGAAAATAAGAGCAAAAGATTTTAATAGCAAAGAAAAGGAAGAAAACAAGACAGAGGCCAGTAATATCTCCATGGTTACACTAAATGACTCTCACTTTCAGGAAACAATAGATACCAGGGAACCAGCTGCAAATATCCTGCAAGTGGAGAAATCCCTCTTTTTTTTTTGTCTCCCTCTTTGGACTTCTTTCTCCAGGTGTGGAAAAAGAGGGTCTGAGGGGTCATTAAAGAGCTCTGAACTGAAGTTCAGTTGGTTTCTTGCCGTTCAGAGACTCAACTGGATAAGGGGAGGTTGGGGCTTGCAACCTTCCAAACCAGCTCTGGTTATCTTAACTTGGCTTCTGCTAATATGAAAGGTGTTTGTTGACACAGACTCTCACAGTGCCCTGGAAACAGCTACAAGGGAGTGAGAACTTGACAAGCAGGACGATTCCACCTCCTGTTTTCTCAAACCCCTGCTTTTCTAGGCGCAGAGCCATTCCGTTTTCTTGCTACGTAAGATCTATCATTCACTCTGGCTGTTCCTCTTCTCAGTTCCTTACTTGAAGTTAAGATGAGCTGGGGATGAGTCTCGCCTTGGGACCAATGATATAAAGGCTTAGACTAGTTTATTTTTAAGCCCTCTCAGCTTTAAAATTTCATGATGATTCTTGCTTCAAAATATTTGTTTAACCGGGAGTAGCCTCAGGGGGGATGGAGAGTGGACGCAGTGACCCCTCCCAATTGCACCCCTACAAAAAAAAAAAAAGAAAAGGAAACCAAAATGTTTGTTTTAGCTTCCCAATATTTCAGGCCAGGTATGTAGCTCGGCAGTGAAGCACCTGCCTTGCATGAATGAGGCTCTGGGTTCTATCCCTAGTGCTGCAAAAACAAATTCAACTTCAACTAGAGAACAAGTACTCTTCGCCAAGTGATGCTGTGAAAATCAGATCTTGTCAATGTAAAGCATCCCTAAATGTAAAAGTAAAGCTTTACTTTCCCAGGAGCTCTTAACATTTTATAAAAGGGTATCAATAATGCAAAAGAATCTCTACTTGGTTCACATCTGTGTAGGCTTATGGGAAGGGAACCCCAAGTTCCTCCTCATGTGCCCCCTCCCTTCATTTCACATTTGCTTTAGTGCCAATCCTCAGCCTTGAAAGACCCCGCCACAGGTAATCCTAAAAGATTTTAGCAAAATAAAAATTAAAATTCCAAATGGAAAGTTTTATCAAAAGATAATTGTTGGTGAGAAGAGAAAGAGGAAGCAGAGGAAAAGGAGGAGGAAGAGGAAGAAGCATTTAATAAAGCAATGTGTGATGAGCTGCTTGCCATACATAATAATTTTTAGTAAAGGAGATCAGATGATAGCTCTATGTGTTAGAATTCATATCTGGCGTACACAGGGCCCAAATTTGATCCCTGGCACCTCATGGTCTCCTGAACGTCAGCTGTGTATAGAGCTCTGAGGGAACCCAGAACCACCGGGAAGACCCCTGGAAAAAAGGTTCAGATGAGAGAGTACTCGACTAGGATTATCCAAAATAAGGAACAAAATTTGGATAGGTGAGAATAATTAGAGAAAGGTATTATGTGAAGTAAAAGTCATGGAGTTCATGATTTTCTAAAAGCTGTTTTTAAAAACTATCCTTTGGGGGCCAGAGAGAAAACACAACAAGCTGAATACATGATTTTCATGCAGAAGGCCTGAGTTCAGGCCCCAACCCCACAATGGTTCTGATCATCAAGCCAGAAACTGTCCCTGAGTGCATCCAGGTCAGATTCCAAAGCAAAAATAAAGGAGCTGGAGTGATAGTACAATCTTGAACATGGCTGGCCCACATTCAATTCCTGGCACACTGTGTTGCCGTGTTGTTAACCCAAGATCTCTAAGAATAACTTCTTTTTTTTTTTTTTTGCATTTTGGGTGACACCTAGCTATGCTCAGGGGTTACTCCCAGAGAAATTACTCCCTCATGAATTACTCCTGGCAGTGCTTGGGGGACCATATGGAATGCTGGGAATCGAACCCAGGTCAGCCACATGCAGGGCAAAAGCCCTACCCGCTGTGCTATCGCTCCAGCCCCTCTAGGAGTAATTTCTGAACACAGAGCCAGAAGGAACCCCTGAGCATCTCCAGGTGTAACCCAAAATCCTA